AACACTCCTGCACTTGTCTCCCAACGTCACCATTAAGGTAACCAAGAATTTCCACGAATGCAGCAGGCCTTCTCGCTCCCGCCAGCCAGCCCTCCTCCTGCTGGTCTGCTCTTCCTGTATTCACTCAGCCACTCTCCGTTCATGGCCCAGCTCATGTGCCTTGTCTCCTTGGGCCTGGAGGCAGGAGTGATCTCTCTTGCAATTTGTACCCGATGACTTTGCAGCACCTGCTGCCTTGTGGTGTTAATATGGCTCTGTGTTTGTCCTCCAGCTAGAGTGGGAACTGCTTAGGGCAGGGACTGCATCTTGCCCACCTCTCTCAGCCCATCACCCATCCTTCTATCCATTCATCCTTCCATCTATCCATCTGTCCATCCATCCATCCGTCCATCTTTCCATCAGTTTGTCCTACCACCCATCTATCCATTCATACATCCATCCATCCACACATCTGCCCATCCAACATTTCTGGCTGTCAATATAATGGGAGAGGTACAGGGTACATGGAGTGAGTGCGTGTGCACATGTGTGAACATGTGCGTGTGGTTCCCCCACCTTGGAAGTCTANGAGTGAGTGCGTGTGCACATGTGTGAACATGTGCGTGTGGTTCCCCCACCTTGGAAGTCTAAGGTGTGCTCACTTTGGGATTCAGTGGGCCTGTTGAATATGTCTGAATGGGCATGTGAGAGTGGGCCTATTCCCCAAACATTTTACAATGAGCATTTTCAAGCAGTCCCAGAAAATTGAAAAAAAAAAAACAAAACCCAATAAAATGTACATGACACCCTGTCCACCTGTCCACACAGATTAAACAGTTATCTGCTCTTCCTCTCGTACTCTCTCTCTCTGTGTGAGTGTGAGTGTGAGGGAAGGGAAGGCATGGAACCCACGAGAACGGGCTTCAGTCACTTCCTCTCCCCACCTCAAAGGCTGACCACAGATCTTTCAGTTCACATTTTGCTGTTTCCTCTTATATCTTCTCATCTTTGCCTTAATAGCTTTGGAAAATGTACCTTCTGGAGAATTTACTCATGAGGATTGGTGCCACCCCCCACACCACTACCCCCAGAGAGGCTTCTGACTTTTACCTACAGTCATCACCAAGCAACTGTCACCATAACAAAGAGCCATGGACAGCTCCAAGTCCACCTCACCTTGTGCCTCTCTGTCCCCAAGAACAGTCCCAGCTCAGGCCTCAATGCACTCTGCAGACATGTGTTAAACCCACCCGACTGGGTTGGGCTCTGTGTGGAGAGGTCTGTTCCAGTCACTTCCGTGATTAGCATGGTCCCTGTCCTGCCTCCTTAGCCTCAGCTCCTACCAGCTGAGTGCCCTTCAGTGCCCTGGGACAGCACTTTGAGAAAAACACACCTCTAATGGTAATTAATTCCTCCCAGGTCTGAAAAGTGCCAGGCCCATTCTGACTCTGTGCTTTTGCATGGGCTGTTCCCACTGCCTAGAATGCCCTTCTTCCCTTCCTCGCCTGGTGAGCCCCTCCTCCTCTTTCGAGCCCTGGCCTCTTCTGTCACCTCCTCCAGGAAGTCTTCCAGAGGGTTTCTCCATCCTATCTTACTTCTACCTCCCACTCGAATCCACCTCTGGCAGAGTCTTATGCTTTCTGGGGTGGGCAGGAAAGTGGGGTATCATTAACTCCTCTTGGTTGAGTTCTAAGTTTTCAGGGTCCCAGAAGATCTCTCCTTTTAGTAGGGTCCTTGTTGACTCACCATCAGAATGTGTCTCTCCAGGAACTGAGCGGTGGTGAGAGCCCTCTGCTGTCCTTCCACCTGGCAGTGGAGAAAATAGGGGCTCCGAAGGTGGAGGGCAAACCCAGGTCCGCCTGATGCCATAACTTCCCTCTCACTGCTCCTCACCCAGGACATCTCAGAAGAAATCCATGAGGGGTACATTCTGTTTGCCAGCCGGGGGGGCGGGGGGTGTCATCTAGCAAAGCATCCAATCTGGGCCTTGGAGGATCCTCTCCTTCCAATTTTCTGAAACCGAGTCCAATACATTCTTTTCCTTTTTCAGTGGGAAGTGAAATGAAGCTCCCTCTTTTGCAGTTTAAGTACTTAAACCCCAGGCATGACCATGTGGGGAACCGGCAATTACACACAAGCAGCCAGCAATTTGGGGGAATCAGTTAAGGCTTATTAGATTGGTTTGTCACCGAGACTGAAAATAAATCTGACTTTCTGGGCAATAATTTACAATAGGAAAAGAAAACAGCAGTCATTGAGCAACACTGTGTACTAGGCCCCTTCTGGGAGAGCCACACAGCAATCTAGTGCCATAGGTGGTTTGATCCTCCGTCCTACAAAATCTGACCTTCTGAGAAGTGCAGAGGAACCCCCAGCTTGAAAGCAAGGACTTTGACATTGGACAGATCTGAGTTCTAATTCCAGCACTGACACTTAACAGCTTTGTGATCTTGAGTATGTAACTGCAACCTCTTCAAGCCTTGGTTTTCTCATTTGTAGAATGGGTATAATACCTCCTGCATCTGATGGATATGAGAACGAAGAGAATAAAGGAATGGAAAACTCACAATGCCTGGCACATGGTAGGCTTTCACGAAATGTTGTTTTTAATATTGTCTAAAGCCACACAGCCAGGAAATAGCATTCACACACACCACATATATTTACTGAGCACCTTCCAGGTGCAGACACTGTGCTGGGGTCTGGGGATTCAGCAGTGAGCACAGCAGACACATCTTGGAGCTTCTGTAACGAGTGGGGGTGACAAACATTCAGTATCCCACTGTGGAGTTGCAGCTGTACCAAGAGTGATGCACGGGGAAGCAGGGGGAGCCACAGGAGTATGTAATGGGAGACCTGACCTGGTCTGGGGGATACTGAAGGCTTCCCCAAGGAGGTGGTATTTGGGTTGAGATCTGTACAGATGGGAATGAGGTAACTGAGTGCTAATGGGGGACAAGTAGACTCCAGACAGGGAAAACAGCCCCTGCAAAAGCTTGGAGGAGGAAGACGGTGGGTTTTAACCTAACGGCCATGGGAAGCCTCTGGCAAATGGAGAAGGAAGGTGACTGGAAGGCAGGAGGGGGCTCCAGTGTCCCTGCCCTCCTGCTGCACACCAGGAGATGGGGGTGTGGCACCTGGGGGTAGGTCTGAGCAGGCACCCTGTCGG